AAGGCTGCCTAGCAGTCCCTACGCGAGCCCCCCGCAAGGACCCTGTAAGACTATTGACTAGGCTAGCTAGGCCTTTCTACCCTGCAGGGTAGGACTATACTAATTACAGAGCCTTCCAATTGAAAGCCACGCTTGCGCTAATCACTCGAAGCCACTTTATGTGGCAGACTAAGCCACCTTGGCCACTAGGCTTTCCCAGGCCCCGCGCGTGAGGGCCGGGCCAATATTAACCTAGGCTTTCGAGGCGTAACACTTTGTAATAAGATAGTCATGCTTTGCAATTGCTGCCAACAATTTGTAGGCACCTAATCTAATCTTCTTCTAGTAAAAGTCAAGAAGCTTAGTCTAGGAATTAGAGTTTAACTTAGGGTCTTGACTACCCTATTGCAACTTTATCGCCTTTACATTCTCCTTCCAAGTCTTGTGCTTTAAGACTATCTCTATAGTAGTACGCAGCCTTTTCTTTATGTAGTGCTTAGTCTATCTCTTCTTCTACTTGTCTATAAGCTAGTTCTAATTAGCATATAAGCTAAAGATTTCTAGAAATTCCAAGACATTCTTGCTATTAAAGATTGTAATTTCCTTTTGCAAAGGCATTAAAGGCACTAACTTGACTTGATATTAGAAGCTTGCCATTAGGAAAGGTTTTGCCATAGAGGGAGGTTCTGCTATAGGGAAAGGCATTGCTATTCTTAGGGGTATTAAGGTCTAATCTTGTAGCAGGCTAGAGATAGGTTAACGTGACAGAAGGGAAGTAGGCTGCCTTGAAGAATTGGAATCTTTAGTAAAGGCTTGTGTAACTTGCAAGGTAGATAACTACTTAGACTTTCTCTTTTTGTAATTTGGTTTGATTTCCTTTGCCTGCAAGGAGCTTATCGTCTAATTCTTGCTTTTCTAGTCTCTGTAAAAGTAGCTTGCCTTTCCTAAATATCTAATTAGAGGCTTTAGGTTCTTTGCAATAGCCTATCCTTACAATTCTAAGTCCTTAACAAATACTAGGATGCTTTTTAGGCTTCTTACGCCAAGGAATATAAACTATAGCAATATTATCACCACCCTAGCCTAAATGCAAACTTCTGCGTCATTACTAATCATAGGTCTTTTCTTTACCGCTTCTTAAACTAGAGAGTCTTCCTTTTTAGGTTTCTTTTTCAGGCAATTCTTTCCTGTCTTAACATTCTAGCGCCTCTTTGCGCTTACATTAGCCTTTTTAGCAACCAACTAATTAGTTTGTACTAGCTAGTTTTTAGGCTTTAGGACAGGTTGTCTAGTCTAGGCCCTACTAGCCTTTGGCTTTCCTAATCCTCTTATTATAGCTTTTGGCTTTAATCCTTGTCCTTTCTCTCTTTCTAATCCTAGCACTTGTCTAATCATACTCTCTTTTCTCAACACGCTACTCTTTTAGCTAATTAGGTAACTCTAGGTTTATATCATCTCATCTTGTAATCTTCTAGAAAAGAAAAGAGAAAGGGAAAAGGGTTTTAATGCTACTTTAGCGTAATTAGGAGTCTTCTTTGCTTAACGCTTGGTTGCCTTAGCAACGCAGAAAGCTAGTTGCTTTGCAAAATAAGAAAGCTACTGCTTTTAAGGCATCTTTGTATTTAGTTTGTGACAAAAGAAAGGAGTGTACTGACTAGGAGCCTTTAAGGTCAAGCAGGTGCCTTAGCTTTTCTCATAGTCGCGCAGTCTAATCAGACTACAGCCTTCTAGTAAGCCTTTTAAATCAATCCCAAATCGCCTCCTAAATATAAAAAGGAGAGACACAAAACTACCTACCTACCTACCTCTTAACATAGTATACTGCTTCTAAGGCATAGGCTTCAACAGCAGTAGCTACATGATTAGCTAGCAGGCAGATAGAATCGTGCTTCTTCCTTACCTCTAGCGCACGTGACTAGTTAGGTAACCCTAATTAGCCCTAATATGTCTTGCAGTAGTGCCTAAATCTAGTTGTGTAAGTAAGGTAGGAAAACGCCAGCAGCGTGATTAATTAAATTGAAGGCGTAAGAAAGGAATAAAATGCAGTAAATTAAGTATTATTGCGTAAAAAGCTTGGAAATAACTAAGGTATAACAAGTGCTGCTTGTAAATCTGTATAAGTCTGCGTAATTGATAATAATCTTACAATTTAAAGCCCTAATCACGCTCTTATATAGAAGCGCAGAAAATCCAGTCCAAAGCTGACTTATCCTAGCCTAAAGCAGCCTATGCCTTTTCCATTCACCACGTTACTATATAGCAGTAAAAAGGTTATTATCTACCTGCCTTCCAATAGCCTTGGCAAGGCAATGCTAGCGTTATATATACTAGCATAGGCTGCTGTAATCTTTAAAGAATTTGCATAGCAAGAAAGACATAGCCTTAAGCTTCTAGAGGCTTGTTATTTGGTTAGGCTTAAAGTGCTTTTACAAGTTTGCAATAAATTAACCTAGGTTGCTTTTAAAGGCATTGCAGTTAGCTAGTATAAGCTTGTTAGTATACTACAATAAAGCTAGGCTGTAGAGTAGTGTTAGGATTAGGCTTGTAAAGGCTGCTTTGTTCTTTGCCTCTTAGAAAACTTCTAGTTGGTTAGAAAAGGCAAAAACGTTAATGTAAACATTTAACTTGCTTTTAGTAATTATCCTATCCTTGTTAGAATCTTTTGCATTAAGGTTAAATACCTTAACATTGTCTTTCTTTAGACAATAGCTAGAGTAGTTGTTGAAAGTGCTAGCTAGAGTAGTAAATCGCTTCTATTGCTAAAAGGCTAGGCTATCCTAGTTGTAAAAGGCTAGGCTTTCTTAGGTGTAAGCTAAAGTGTTATAAGAGTTTAGCTAGTTGTTAAATTAGGTTTGCTAAAAGCTACCACGCTAATTAAGGCAAGATTGGCTAGGGTAAGGCTAAGTAGTTGACTAGCGTTAAGCCTAGTTAGCTATATCAAAGCGTTTCTCAAAGCAATCTATATGCTTAGAAAAAGCGTCAACGCAGGTATTAGACTTCTCAGCCTAGGTTACTAGGAAATCTAGCTTTTTTATAATCAAGTTGTTGCAATTGGAGGTTGAAAGCCTAGGTCTTTCTTCTTTGTCATTAGGGAGGCGAAAGAAGTTAAACCTGCGCCTCAACTTAGGCTTTTAAGGATTGTTGTATAGGTTATTCCATATAAAGTTGCCTGCTTTAAAAGATCCTAAAAGTTAAGTCTTCTAACCTATCATAGTCTTGTCAATGTTGTTTAAAGCTTCAAAGCTTAGAAAGGTGTCTTAAAGCTTGGGATACGCTTTAGAAGTGTTAATACCTAGGTTAAATAGCCTCTTATTGTAATAGCCTTTCTAGATCTTTGCAATATCTTTATCAAATTGGTTAATAACTTTGAATACCTAGGAGTTTAGGGTATAGTATTGATTGCTTGATTTGCATAACTAGTTGCAATCCTAGTGACAGAATTAGGCTGCGACATAGATAGCCAAAAGCTAGTTATTGGTAGGCTTGTTGCGTAAGTTGTTGACAGTGTTGTGGTTGTTAATCAATGCACTGCCATTGTCAAGATTCTTGTTCCTGTAGTTAGAGTAGTACTAATCAGCGTCTAGTCAATTGTTGGAAAAGTCGCTGGCAAGGCTAGGAGGGTTTCTAGGTTGATAGCGAAAGGGACTACCTAAGTAGGCAAGGGTGGCAAGGTTTGCTGTTGACAGTCCTGCTTGCATAGGCAAGTGTCTAGCAACCAATTAAGCTATAGTAACTAGTCAGATTAGCAGGTTTAGCATTAAAGGTAATAGCAATATAGAAGGCAAAACAATGTAAAAGCAGTGTAATGCAATGCAAAGAGTCAAGAAAGAAAGAATCTTCTTTGCAAGTAAGTTGGCAAAGAAGGCAGGAAAGCAGTGAATATGCAAGAGACTTGCTAGTAAATACGCAAGAGGCTTAGGTATTTAAAGGTTGGTGAATACTCAAGCGAGTATTTAAATGTTAGTAGGAAGAGGCCTAAATACTTGACAGGTTTGGTTAAAGCAGGCAAGTAAGCAGTGCTTTACGCATAGATTGGTCTAATTAACGCGTCAAGGGCTTGCGCATAGCTAACGCTATTTGCAAGCTCTTAGAGTGATTTTGGTATCGCTAGAATCAGCGAAAATTAAGGTTTTTGGTAGGTTTGGTTTATATTATAACTCTAACAAGTATATCCATGCTACCAATTTATAGCGCGTTGGCAGAGAGCTACTTTAATAGCAATCTTGTAATATTGTACGAAGTAAAAGTGATGTTAATATTTAGTGGTTTCTACGCAGAGGGCGTGTAGGCTTTGACTGACTTACGCTAGCGCACAAGCCAGGTCACAAGCCACTAGAGCCACTTCAGGCCCCGCCCTCACTATCTATTTACAGCCAGTAGAAACCATCCTTTCTACCCTACCAAGCCCCACGCATCATACGCCTTAGCAGCAGTATACTACGTTAAGAGGTAGGTAGGTAGGTGGTTTTGTGTCTCTCCTCCTCATTATATAGAAGCGCAGAAAATCCAGTCCAAAGCTAACTCATTCTAGCCTAAAGCAGCCCATGCCTTTTCCATTCACCACGTCAATGCATACTAATTTTGTCAATTTTCCTGCTAAAAATATCTACAAGCTTTGCCTTCTATTTCTTTACAAGCTTTACCCTTTGTTTTCACTAGCGCTATTTTAAATTATATAGCGTTTTCTATAAGCATAGCCTATGTTTGTCGCTATATTTAAAGGTAGGTAGGTAAGCTAGTCTAAGTATAGCAAAAGGCTATTGCGGCAGCAATTTATCACTAAGGCTAATAGCTTAGACAACTTGCAAAACCTGCCGCTGCCGCTAGATAATAAAGACAACCCTGTGGGAGAATAAGGGCTTGACGAGTACCACAGCTCTTAGAAAAGCCTATCCTCGCCATTTGGCTAGGGAAGCTAGGACAGTCAGGATAGGGAGCTGCAGAGAAGTCCTAGGTTTTGGTCAGTTAATTGTGGCGTGGAACAAAGGTAGTGCTAATCACTCAGTGCAGTACTTAAATACCCTAGAAGTAATGTATTGTACTAGGAACAAGCATCGAGCAACCAAGTTCCTGCCGCCTAGCTATTCCAGAGAATTTGCTAACGCCCCTATCTGCTTGCAGGCTGTCATTCTTCCAAAAACTCAAGTAGCCAAGAGAGACAATATGGGAATACGGCTAACAAATCTAGTACAGCTCTTGTGGAGCACATAATTCAGCCGCTAGAGGGAAGGCGGTTTCATACAGGCATCAGTGACAGTGATCGTTTGGTCCCCCCTTTCCAGCATATACACTCTTACAGCAAGTCGTCTCTGGGATCATTGTCCCAGTATTCTTCCCACTGCCGATTCAGCACTCTCCTGCCCCCCATACCCTCCAGCGTCGCCGCGTCCCAGAAGACATATCCCCAACGACGCATTTCCTCTGGGATATACCACCCGTACAAGTTGCTATACGTGTTACCCCACATTATCGTCCAAGCAAGCGGTGGCGCGTCCGGCTCGCTGTCCCCGCGAAATGGGTACGGGGTTCGTTGCTCTTGCATCCGATCCCGCTCAGATGGGTGGTTCCTGCGCCGCAGGGCCTGTTGTGTTTCGCCAAGGACGCCCTCCAACGCATTGAACGGAATATATGAGCTGGTTATATGCTGCTGCATTGTGGAGACGAGATGTTTGTGGTCCTTAATTTTGAAAAGGACTGTGTGCAGCAGGGAAAGACCACGCAGTGTTATTCCTTCTAGATAATTGCTCCGATCCGCTGTTCTCATATTAGATGCGTGCAGCTCACTGATGATGCCGAACTTACTCGAGATATCTAGATCAAATGCCCCCTCTGGAGTAGGCGGTCGGCCTTGGTCGTCAAACCTGGGGTTGTCTGGATGCAGATCCCAGCGGATATCGGTGAGAATTCTGTCGTATACATCCCGCGCAAACTGGTAGAATGAGAAAAGCTCCTCGATCTCCCACGGTTCGAGCACGCCAAGAAAATCCAGTACAGTCTCTTGTCGAGATAGCCTCATAGCCTTGTTAGCAGGCTCAACAAGTTGACAGAGCAGCTGGAAGCGATATGTAGCCCGTATCAATCGCATTGTCTCCGTGCGGGTGAGTGTAACTTCCTGCTGGTGATTATGAGAGTCCTTCCCTGCTTCATTGGCGAGATTGTCGAGCGACCAGCGAGCATAGTATTCTGTGATGGGCTTCACGGAATGGAAGTAGAAGACAGCCATCCTTATGGCTTCATCTAGAGTAAGCTTGTCTGCAAGTGACAAGTATCGCCGTGATGTCTGTTCCGAGTATGAGTTCGGCACCCAAGGAGTGTTTTGTTTCGTATCTCCAGCTTGGGCTGTGCACTTATGGACGGCATAGGCGTCAATGGCCACGCTGCCCAATGTCTCCTCAAGGCTTCGACAGAGGAGATACTTGCGATCGACAAGATACTGCTGGTGGAAGGTTGGTGAGGCGCGGACCAGCAGTTTTAGGCCTCGAAGGTCCAGAATGGAAAGGAGCTGGCGCCGGACTTCAGGCAGGAGGCTCTCAAGCCTACTATCGCAGTTCTGCTGCTTCGCTTTTGGGCTGGGCGTAGATTGTGGCTCTGCCTCTGTGTGTCCAACATCGGACCCAATTGTGACCAACTTGGGCGCTGCATCTGAAGTTGTTGGATCTGCTGGGGCTTCGGAGATTCTGACAGAACGCTTGAACTTCGCGATGAACTGCTTCATCTTGCAGCTTGCGCAATCAATTAATGCGACAATGATCTGTAGATATCGGATCAAATTGTTTCTAAGCAACTTTGGGAGCTAAAACTGAAGAGTCTAGGAGCATTTGGGAGTCGGGAGGAGTGCAAGACAGATGGAGTGGCAGTGGAGACCATTTCAAAATAACGGTGAGTTGGGTCACGTGATCCGCTCCGATAAGTTTGTGATTCTGGCCTGTGACCCTGGTTGCCCTCCAATCCAATCCTCCCATGCCTCCTCCTTTTACTATGCGATCTAAAATTATCCCTGAAAGCATGGAGAAAGGCATGGTCATGGGGTTAATCCTATGATTGCCGATCGAACCAACCATAATCACCATATAGTGTACAACCCAACGTCATAGCTGAAATGACCCTGGATGTGAGTTTAGGAGACATCTTTCCAAAAATAGCCAAATCAGCCAGCGCATGATGTTATTGGTCAGAATAAAAAGGAGGAGGCGACTGATGAAACAAAGCTCATCACAGCCGTAGGACGATGGCCTTGACTTTGAAATCCAAGTCTCTCATCCAATCAACAGAATTGGGTGGCTGGAATGTCCTGCCCCCAAACCAGGCCCCAGCGCCCGCAGCCCGGGCCAAACAATCAGCAGCCTAGTTGGCCTGGCCTGAAGAGTTTCATATCGTGCATGCCTGCTCAATCTCTCAAGCAAGGGTGGTTAAGTAATAAGCCTCCCAAATGGCCACTGTCCAACGTTTGGACCAGGTATGCAAGACACAAAACTATCTAGGCCAGGCCGACTAGGCTAACTAGGCCGCTGACTGTTAGCCTAAGCCGCAGCCGCTGGCTGCTGGTTGAGTAGTTTCATGTCCTTCCTAATGAAGCCGTACGATTGACTACAGTCCTGTTCCAATTGAAATCTCTCCTACTTGTGTTCCTAAATTTAGCAACTTTGAAACAGACTGTTGGAAACTTCTTCCTACATCCCTTTACCTTGGTTGCGCGAATGGTTGACTTTGGTGCTTAGGGCTCCATCGCCTTTGCTAAATTTGGCTCATGTTGTTTCTCTAGAGTGAGGTCAACGCCTCTGAGGCCTGAGTGTGTCGTTGGGCCTTCTCGGTGCATTTACTTAGCATATCTCGATTTATCTATCGCTCTTCCACAGATAAATAGCACCTGCTAGACGTCTCTTGATCTCAATTTGTCTCTCCAGCCGCTTGCAAGTAGACACGCTGGTACAGCTCTCTCTGCTCCTAGTTTCTGCGTCCCTTTTGAGGTTGCTCTCTGTATCTTGGTTTTTGCTTCCTCTTTTACTCTCTTTCACAAGTCAACACCTAGTCCTCACTGTTCGACAAACTCCAAGCTCTCTGTTCTATATATAACCCTGATCGATCACTTTGTTGTCGAATTATGTGCAACTCTTGCTTTACAGCTGGAAGATGGGTCCCCTATTGCCAAGATAGGAATACGCCTTCTCCTCTCCAGGTGCCAACGGTGAGAAGCTCTTACATTGTTATCCATCACAGTTTGAAGACCCGGGGATGGTGAGTCTCCAGTTGATACAACATTGCACTGGTGGACAGGGATTAGAATTGCCATATGGCTAGACTAAGTAGACAACAGCTGACATGTTTTCCAGTATCCCTTGCAGAACTACAACTCGCAAAGCTACATATCCCAGCCCCCACAGCCGCATCCTCGCCCAGCTATGATGCCTTCGAGCTCAGGCAGCTTGCACCCTGGCGGTACCTACGCGGCAAGTCCCAGCGGATCAGGCAACTTCTACCCTGGAAGCAACTTTGGTGCAAGTCCCAGCGGATCAGGCAACTTCTATGATGGCAGCAACTACGCAGAGACTTCCGGCGGATCCGTTCGCGCTGGCTCGCGCGGCAGTGCCTCCAGCAGTATCTCAGTCGAGTCGGCGCGTGCGACTGTGTACTCGGTCGAGAGGTCGCAGTCTCTAGAGAGCCTAGCCAGACAAATCAGCCGAGATCTGAACGACCTCGACGACACAGTAAGGCAGCTCAATGCGTGGTTCAGGAGCCTGGATCCCAAGGGATACACCAAGCGGACCCCGTGGTCGGCGGGGATGGAGAGTGCCTACGACCGATACAAGAGATACGGTGCGGCCCACGCGCAAGCTCACACCGCGTTCCAAATCTGCCTGTCCACAACAAGGAGGAACACAACGCCAGAGCAACACGCCGAGCGCGCCAAATTGGCTATTGACTGGGGTACGCAGGCTTTGAGGTACGCTTATTTGGCTTATCACTTTCCTTACCCCTTCAAGTTGCACCTTTAGTGAATAATTATAAGCTAATCTTGGTTCTTCATTTCCAGAGCGGCTGAGGCACGGCTCGAGTTCATGAGGATGTACCGTGACGCCTATCGCCTGAAGGGTATCGACACCCATATCAAGACAGGAGATAATATTATTACCAGTGCTCGAAACGCCGTCGCAGAAGCAAGGCGTAATTACAATAGTACATACTCCTCCAATCATATCTCGATAGGAACGCAAGCTAACTTACCTTTACCAAACAGGTATCTGGGTCTCAGCTGGACGCTTGACTGATCTGTCAATCTTCAGTTAGTGTGTTATGGGGTACGCGGCGAAGGTTGTGCGACAAAGTTGAGGTCTATTTCGCTATGTATGCTGCAGCAACTACTCTGTGATATGTAACTTAGCAAGTCTAAAGCAGAGTTTAATGCGTGGTAACAATCTAGTACACGGAGGTGCGCTGAATCTGGCCATAGTCTACGGCGCGGTTGATGCTCCGCCCGGCGTCCATCTTGACGTCGGCGCGGAGGCAGGTCCAGGTGCCTATCAAGGGTGGCCAGCTCGGCCTTGCCGACGCCGATGTCCATCGGAATCGGCCTCCTCTATCTAACGTGCATTCCGGCCGAAAGCGAATCTGGGAAAACCAGGTCGGCCAGCTAAAATGCGTATTCGATGACGACAGTGTCACAGAGCTCCACCAGAGCCAACTAGTTCCAGACGAATGATGTCAAGGGCGTGTATCTGGACATCAGGCACAGCCTGCTAGCCGCAGGTGAAGCTCCTCTCGCCCAACCCGATCGACTCATGAACAAGCCGCACTTCCCACCTTCCATTGCCCTTCTGTTTCTTCAGCGGCTAGCCAACCTAGACGGTGGCGTTCTTGATTAGGGTTGGGTGGGCCTCGTCGATGTAGCGGGCATCCCACTCTCTCGGCCGAGACCGATGGGGTCGACGGGCTTGGTGCGCCGCTTGACGCAAGTTGTAGCGGAACCTGCAGAACACAACGCACGAGGAGCTACTGATTCAGACAACTTTCGAGAGACTATGAAGGATGTGACGGCGCTTCACCTCCATATTTGGACCGAGTGGAACGAGGACAACGCCAACAGGTGCCGGAAATGCGCAGCTTCTGGCCCCATCTGCTCTCGCAATGGCTGGAGCTCCTCGCCAACCAACTCGAGACCTTGACCCTGTACTGGGACAACCACTGGGGCTTGTTCCCGCCCATGGACCTCCGCAAGCTGCACTTTACAAGGCTCAAGTCCTTGTCACTAGGCACTTACGTGTTCAGCCTGGACGAGCAGCTCGAATGGCTGCTTTCTCACAAGACGTTAGAGCATCTAAGCTTCGATAGCTGCGCCATATGTTCTAACTGGAACATTCCCGACCCGCCAACGAGCATCACCTCCACGACGAACTCCGGTTTACCCAGTGTAGGCTCCCCGTCTCTGCGACCTTCGACCCTCAAGCTGGGCTGGGCGAGCTGGGCTTGGAGTGGGTCTTCAAATACGATAGAAGATGGCCGACCTACTTCGCGCGGATAAGACCTGTCAGTCACCGTGCCATTAATTGATATCTCAGGCCGGCGAGACCAGCGCAGAACCGACGTAGTCCGACAGTTCCTGCGTCAGCATCTTCACCATCAGGACCACCTCATGATAGTTCGAGAGTCGAGGACTGGCACGGGTCTAGGCGTCCGTGATGTCGAGCAGGCGCGCCCCTATACACTTCTTCCCCATCTTGAGAACGAAGCTGAACGTGTCAGAAATCCACCTCCCTCCACACGTCCAGTATCCCGCCTACGTGCGGCACCGCGTTGACGTAGTTCTTGAACTCGCCGAAAGACGCGATCCATGCCACGTTGATCTACCCGATGACTTCCGTATTGACGAGGAAGTTGAGCGCGCCGAGGGTCTGTTGCAGAGAGAAAAGCGTTGGTTAATGATCGTCCATTCTTTCGTGAAACCCGCGAGCTACACAGAAATCGTACTAAGCCATCGAGAGCTGTTATCACTTTCGGGAGGAGTTTTGTTGAAACTCGGTGTTCCGGGGCAATTCGCAGGCATATCAATAGCATCTTTGCGGGTTTCTAATAGTTGGTTCCTAGACGCTGTCAGTGCTCCGATATCCTCGTGGGCGGAGGACAAAGTAGTGAGGCATTGCGGTATGCTCCGAAATGCAGCTTGGTAAATACATACCTGGCACTGAACCAAGTGCATCTTGAGCATAACAACACAATGTAAGGAGTTGACGCTGGCAGCTGCAAAATTGTCCAAGGGAGTAAAATAAGGTTGCGGACGGGGGTATCTATGCCGCCTTGCCGCATGATTAGCGCAAGCTAGCAGTCTCCACCCTCATTTTAACAGCGGACCAGTATTGGCTTAGTGCGGGTCCCCCCCTGCTTAGCGAGGTTTGTCCATCTTAAATAACTTCGCACCCACACCTTGTTTCCCACCAAATTGATTACCAAAAAGAAAAACCAACCCAAAGAGCTCAACTCCATTTTCAAACATCTAGCCCTGTCTGCTCGCAATGGAAGATGTACGCGCTTGGACATTTAGTTCATTGACTTATTATTAACTAACCTGTTCTAGACTTATCAAGTCGCATCTCTCCTTGGTTGTCCTGAGGATATTCGCCACTTGATCTTAGCATATCTCTCCCAAGCCGACCTTCGCAGTATTTGCCTTGTCCATAGGCATGTGCATACCCTTGCCGAACTCTATCTGTATTCGGAAATCCACTTCGCCTGGCAGGAATCTCAGCCTCACCCTATCACGTCACTGCTACGAAGCATCTTACGTCGACCTCAGCTAGCGACCTACATCCGCAGAGTTATGCTAGTCGGAGCTTCCTTTTACATGCCCCAATACCAAGGAAAAGCTCCCAAAATCCCAGTCTCCGAGCCCGAACTGGAGGAGCCTCTGGCGTTTGTGGCGAAGACCACGGTGTCTTATCGCAAGACCTGGTCAGAAGCGCTGCAGAATGGGACGATGGACGCATTTGTTGCCGTCTTATTATCTCAGCCGTTGCGCCTCACCCACCTCTTCATAGGATCTGACTTTTTCAAGAAAAGTCAATTCCTTGGCCTGGTGTTGCGATCTACAATCTGCGAGGCCCTTGATTGCGGCCTGCGACTCGACTTTGGACATCTGGAATCAGTATCTTTGGAGCTGTATTCTGACTATCTCCGGCCCAGAAACATTAGGAATACAGCAGACATCCTTCCCCTGTTTTATCTGCCATCTGTTAAGCAAATCTCGGCCTCAATAGACAACCCAATCGTATTCTCGTGGCCGTCAACGCATCAACCTTCTGCTTCAAGTCTCCGTTCGCTAAAACTAACCACTATACGGGAGGCCTATCTTGGTCAGTTGCTGATGGTTGCTGATCAACTTCGGTCCCTTCACTGGCAGTGGTTTTATAGCCCAGACTACCTTGACCGGGTTCACACGCCTGTTATCGACCTAGTCCAAATCACCACAGGAGTATCTCACGTTCGAAATACGCTAGCAGAACTTGTCATCTCAGCTGTCAGTGATTCTGGGGGCGATCCTGACTTGCCTCCATTGACGATCCATGGTTCTTTGAGTGCGATAGCTGGCTTCGATAAACTGAGAAGGTTTACCGCCCCGCTTGTATTCCTTATGGGGTTTTCGCCGGACGGCACGGAGCGCATAGAGGATTTCCTCCCTCGAAGCCTTGAGTTTCTGACTATAACAGACCACTTATGCCTACACAACGAGTATGAGTGGGAGGATCACGAGGTCTTGAGTGTACTTCGGTCATGGTTGGAGACTTTTCGAACCTCCACACCCCACCTCTGTGAGGTAGCCCTCTTCTTACAGCAGACAGATGATAACTGGAACCAGGCTATCAGAGATGAGTTTCAGAAGCTATGTGTTAGAGTTGGGGTTCAAGGGAAAGTTACTAAACTGTTACAAGATTTATACTAGGGACAGGTACTCTCGGAGGGACAGGTACTCTCGGCGCGTCCACTAAGGAAGAAAGCTGCTGGCTCTCCATAGACCATAGACTTTGTCGAAGTGGATAAAATCTCTTCCAACATTCGTACCCATGCCAGCCTGTGTGTGGTTACCGCCGTCGGTATTTTTCCTGCACGCCACAGCGGCGTCAGGGAGCATTTAGTACACCTATGGTTGTTCATGTAAGTCCATGTCTTGCCAGTGTCGTCCTATATCCAATAGTCTCGACCCTAGAACGGTGAGCTTAGCGGCTAGAGAAGGAAAGAAGGAAAGAAGGAAAGAAGGAAAGACATACTCACCTCACCGTTGAAGTCAAAGAACCAAAGACCATGTACGGTACACACATCTGCAAGTTGGATGACGATGCGGTCTGTGCCATCCCGTCCGCCCTCTATGTTGGGAAACCCCCAGTAAATTTGACCGTCGGAGGCGTTTACGGAGAAGACTAGATCACGGTTACCAACCGCATTCCCCAATCGTGCGAATACGATGTTGAAATCTCCATTTGAAATGGCAGGGGGTCCCTTCCCCTGGCCGATACTGCTGTGGATGCAGATGCCGTCGTCGAGTCCGCTACCGCCCTAGATAATGATCAGCCCATTAGATTCACCAGAGAAATACTGCTTATCTCAAGTGTTGGCGCCAGTGTCTGGGGGTGGCGTTAGGAAATACGCCGCATCGGCCTCTCTAATCGCTCTCAGGTAGAGGCAACCATTGGTGCCACCATTGATGACGACGATATTTAGCTGGTATTTTGTAGGCGATGTCGATGCCGCTTAGATTTAATCTACGTAGTGACTATCTTAGCCTTGACATTCTAGAATGATAAATCAGCTAATAGCTTTAAATTAATACTATTAAGGCGTTACATTGTCTATTATATTACTAGAGAATTTCTCCGCGGGCATGCGCCTTTTGCTCCCTGGGCAGGTGGTCTGTGCATTACAGGTGTTAGAATTTTAGAGCAGGTGGCAGGCATTGGCAACAGCTGCTGCGACTGTCGCCGACACTCACCGTCGCCGGTACTGTCACCGTCGCCGTCGCTGTCGCTGTCGCCGTCGCTGTCGCCGTCGCGGTCGCCATCACCATCGCAATTGCCATCGCCATCGCTGTCGCCATCGCAGTCGCCGTTGCTGTCGCTGCTGTCACTATCGCCATCTGTCGCTAGCTATCCCTATCCTTACGGATCCGTATTTCTGTCGCTATTGCAATTGCTGTAACGGCAACGGCAATGGCAACTTTGACAACGGCGAATTAGGTTTGGCAAGGCTGTCTCAGTCCCCTTGCACCTGGCAATGAGTTACCGGCCCGGGACCACCTGTAACGCACAGACCACCTGCCCGCGGAGCAAAAGGCGCATGCCCGCGGAGAAATTCTCTATTACTATGCTTTTAAAAACTATGTTAACATTTTAACTGTTTGTCTCAAGGTATTTTTGAAAGCTTTGTGAAAACTATTATTATTACTACAAGTATACTGGCAGAGGTCTGCAGCATGAGAAATCGACAAGGATTGCCATTATCCATCGCCCTTGGTTTATCCGTCTGGATTATCACTGTTCGTCCAGGCAAACCCTCCACCCCATCGGTCTGCGCGAAAGCTCCCGTAAAACGAAACTGCGAGCCCAAACCAAGTTTGCTTTCAGTATCCGCCATCTGGCCATAGCGGATACTGACGACAACAAAGGTCTGTTTCACTTCCTAGCTCGGCCCCGAGACGCCAAGCACCGGAACCGATCTCCACATGCCGGAAAAGTGAGAGACTTCATCCGCAAGACAGTCGAGCCTTTTCGCCGTGTGCCTCCCGCTCCAAACCTGTATGACGACGATGAGGACAGGTACAAGTCTAGACCGGAGGTAGCAGAAGAGTATGTGAACCAACCTGGTTGGCATCCCGGACGCAGACAGCTCAGCTCTTAGGAACCTAGAGAAGATCCTCAGCTCCCACGACGAAGATCCCGAGACGAAATTGAAAGTGAAGGACTGTTCGTGGACCACGGTCTTGGAGCAGATGGCCGAGGCGAGGCGGCATAAGTCGTCCCAACCAAACGTAAGCTCCCTCCCCGCGGCCGGTGTTCAGGTAGCAGGGGAGATTATTGAAGTCATACCAGAGGAGTATGGACTGGGAGTGACCAAAGGATGATTGGCCTTAATCTTCGAGGTACTGTCTCCACGATCGCAGCAGGCATCCTTTTGCGCCTCGTTTGACTAACCGTGAACAACCCCAGACCTGCAAGAGGCGTAGTGAAAATAGGCAGATGATTTTGGACGGGTTCGGGACCGTTCCGGACCCTATCCTCACAATCAACACTGCTTATGTCCTTCTGGATCCAGAGCGGTGTGAAGATGGATAATCTCATGGTGCAGGTAAAAACATCCGAGGCAAACGTCACGAGTCAGATAAAATCTTCCGAAAGCTAGCTCAAAGAGCAGGTAAAGAGCTGGGAAACCACCATCATCGCGCTTCTGTTCGAGTACAAGGCGTTGCAAGAAGGCCTGATGGCTCAGATGCGGACATTCGAAAAGGAGGTTCAGAATCAGCTCTCAAACTGCTTTCCTGCCAACAATGCCTCAAATGCCGCCATGACGGGGTTGTTTAGGGAGGCGCAGATAATCCACCGACAGCTGGAGACTCTCCAGCAAGAGAAAGAGGAGTGGAAGCAAGAAAGACGGCAGTTTCACAGCCAGCTGGAGCACTCGCATGAGAACAAGGATCAGCTCAGGCGCGAGCGGGACGAACTTCAAAGCAGTAAGTCCACGCATGCCACGCAGAACACTGCTGGAGGGCATTCAGTCGAGTCGTGCCACGCTAACCCTCGCAGCAGAGAATTACAACCTCAGCGTCCAAGTCCGCGATCTTTCACGGCAGGTCCCGTCGCAGTCTATCATCCACAACCAGGCGCAGGCTAGCCCGTCAGTGACGCCCATCCAGCTCCTGGGCGCCATCGGTGTTTCCGTCCACGCTGCATGGGTCGACCTAGACAGCGTCGTACGGCAGTCCATCCACTTTGACGCCGAGGCCCAGGGCAAGGCGTGATGGCTCATAACAATGCCCGAGTTTGGCGCTTGGTTCCAGAGCCTGCGGTCGTCGATTCTGCTCGCCGACGGCGCAACCACCGAGGAGATCCAGCTCCGGTCGCCCATGTCGGGCTTCTGCGCCGCCCTCGCTGCCAGCGTCGCGGCCGACGACGCCGGATGCATCGCGCTGTCCTTCTTCGCCGGGCTGCATCACAGAACAGACAGCGCCGGCTGCGACCTCAATGGGCCCCAGGGTATGGTGCGGAGCCTGATCGCGCAGCTGCTGCTCAGCTCCACACTACCGAGGCCGAACCTGGACTTCCTCTATCCCGCGCTCCTGGAAGCCTGCCGGCGCCGCGACCTCCCGGCCCTCCGCGAGGTGTTCGTGCATCTCGTGCAGCAAGTGCCTCCGGGTATTGAGGTCTTCTGTATCCTCGACGGCATCTCGTGGTACGAGCAGGCCCCGTGGTTGAAGGGCCTTCGTTCTGTGGCCGGCATGTTCGAGTACTTGGCGGAGGCCATCGATCCGGATTATGCTGGTGCCCTGAAGGTTCTCCTGACGAGCCCTGGCAGGAGCATGGAGGTCGTAAAGCGTACGACGGAGAAGCGCAGAGTTTGGCGACACGTGACGCTCGCGGCGGGTCATGTCCATCCCGGGACGTTTGTTGCGCCACAGAAAAGCCACGGGCATTAACGTGGAAGCTGAGCGGTCAGTGGCAGAGTCCAGCCGTATCATTCGATGGCTTATGAAAAATGGGGTAACCTGCTGCAACGGTTTCAAACTGAGAGAGAGAGCAAAGCATAACTTCTATGGATGGTATTGATTGACCTCTTCACAAAAGGGCCCCCTTGATCACCTCTCTACCCACCGCAGAACAAACTCCTCGGGCTTATTCATCTGCAACGTCAACCTTATTTGACTATCCTGCATCAATTCAAGCAAATACCGCCTCGCCTCCTCCAAGCTCCTCCCCCCACTAGCTGCCGGCTCAACCTTCAACCGCCGAAACAGCGTCGCAAACACCGTCACAAACTCCACCTGCGCCATCTTCTGCCCAGGACACACCCTCGGACCCCCCGACCAAGGCAAGAACGAACCCCTGGGAGCGGGCGTCACCTGCGAGTCCCCGCCTAGTTCCGCCCCGGATAAGAGCCAGCGCGAGGGGCGGAAGGCGTGGGCGTCGTGGCCCCAGACGGAGCGGTCGTAGTGCAGGCCCGGGTTGCTGATGTACACGATGCAGGGGCCGGGGATGACATGGGTGCGGCCGCGGACGGTTACGGTCTGGTCGTGCTGGGTGGAGCGGGCGATATGGATCACGGCGGGGAAGAGGCGGAGGGTTTCCATCTGTGAAGGTGATTATCTCGCGTTAGTGTATGCGACCCGAGGAGAGGAGGAGGAGGAGGAGGGTGGGAGACATACCATGACTGCTAGGCAGCGGTTCAGTTTCGGGAAGTAGGTAGCGTAGTCTAGGCCGGCACCATTCTCTTCATTCGCACCGCCGAGAACATGGTCCAGCTCCTCCTGCATCCAGGCTTGCCAGTCCGGATACGCCGCCAGCAGACCGACCGCATATGTCATGGTGTTGGCTGTGGTGTCGAACCCCGCCCCCGTGAAGATGAACAGGTTCCCCGCGATCTCATCCTCGGTGAGGTACTGGCCGGACCCTACCCCTACCTTGTCGCTGCTACTAATGCCGCCTATCCTGCCCTGGTCGGACAGACGCACAAGCTGGCTCATGAGGTTGTCGCGCTCTGTCTTGCTGCCACCGCCTACTCCTGCTGCCGCCTGCTGGTCGTATAACTTCTTCTCTGAGGAGGTCATGGCTTGCCGTTGCCGCTCCTGGTCCAGCATATCTTCCGTAAGGCCCGGCAAGTTCTTGAGCGCCGCACCCACCGTCCTAATCACACGGGGCATGAACGGCAGTCTCAGTAGCCACCCAGGCATCAGCGCCGAGATAATAAGCAGTTCCGTGCACAGCGATATGGCCTCCACGTAGGTCATTCGCTCCTTCGGGTCGCGGGGCAGTTCCATCGGCTGGAATGGCTTGGGCTGGCCGTACCCGACCTGTCCCAGGACGTTGATGGCGATGCCCCGCAGGCAGTTGATGGTGTCTCGGGATTCGCCTCCGGCATGATTGAGGAGATGGTCGGCCATCTGGTGGGACTGAGCGATGGACTCGTTCCAAACAATCTCGCTGATGCGCTCGTTTAGGTTCGGGGCGACGATGCGACGCTGGCGGGCCCAGACTTCTCCGTCGGACTGGTTGTGTGTGTGTCAGATTCCTTCCCAAGCTTGAACTTTTCACACCGGGTGATGGCATAGATATATGTGCAAACTCACAGTGAGAATATTCTCTCCCAAGAACCTCATAATCTTGGACGACAGCGGAAACAGCACAAAATCCTTCCTCCGCGCCAGGATGATCTGCGCCATGGTCGGGTCGGCGCACCAGAGTTCGCACATCCCCGCCGTGACGAGGATGAAGGCGGGTCCCACGCGCTCGTGGATGGCGCCCTTGTCGGCAAACTCCCAGCCCATGACTCCCAGGCGGACGCGGTCGTAGAGGGAGGCTGGTAGGGTGTGCTTGGCGATGACGCGTATGGGGATCTGGAAGACGACGTGGAGGATCTGGGTTGTGTGAGCGGCGGATCAGCGAGACTGCAAAGGAAGAATTGGCTAACGCTGGTCGTGTCAAGGGGACAGACGACGACGGGCAGGCCCGATTTGACTGCACCCTGGTAATTCCGGTAGATGTTCCACACGCGGGACAAGGCGGCATACCCCATCAGAGCCGCGATAATGAGCAGAATAGCCATGATTGACTGCTTGCTTCAGCTACGAGCTCTTCTTTCGATCCTGATGAAAGGTGATGGCGGTGCGGGTACTGTTGCTGGTAATTAGCGACTGAATGGCACGAAGACAACGGGCATTCAGGGGTTAGAGGTGCGGGGATAGGGAATGTTGTTGTTTTTATAAGGCGCAATCATTGAATTGGTGAGATTTTAGGGCCATTTGGAAGGCCCGAGCATTATCGAAGTGGTGAGATTTTAGGGCCATTTTCACGCGATTGCTGCCTGGTTTAACGGCACTCTTCCCCGGTGTCCCGGAAAAGCCAAGTCTTTGGTGACCCCCTAACAGTCCCTCATGATACGGCGGGGGATACTCAAGAAATGCCCCCACTTCACCGCTCTTTGGGGCCTCGCCAACAGGTCCTCCGGGCTGTCATCAATATTCAATGACAATGCCGTGCAGGTTGTAGAGGCCTTGCTGGATTCTACTGCTCCAACTAATTAGACTAGCGAGGATCAGCCTTATTCCTCATTCTCCGTTCTTCCCAGCGTTTTGTCTTTCACTTCTACCTTTCGCCTCCCCATCACCCAGCTCTGTCTGTGACAGCACTGCACACAGAATGGCTGACCCTCAACCCCAGGCCCCCCAGTCCTCTCCCTCTCTCTTGTTGGCTCCCTTGACACCAGCTTCTACTGCACCAAGTACAGTGGCAAACAATACCTTGGCAAGGCAACAACCAGTGAGCCGTTTCACCCCTTAAGCATTTTCAGAGACGACACACCAACCTTATATGAAGACAGACCTGTTCCTCTGGGGTGGGGTTGTTTACAAGCTAATGACGAGCCACTGACCGGGCCACGGACAAGGTATTGTTTGCCACCGTACTTGGTACAGTAGAAGCTGGCTTCAAGGGAGGCTATGATACCGCGGCAGGAATGGCCGGTTTTAGAACGTCAGTTCCTGGGCCTCTGCCTAATTATTTCCACTGACAGACTGTAAAAGCTTGTCACGTCAATCAACAAGCTCATGATTATATTAATTATCTCGTGATTTTCCCCGCCACCGCACAATTTCCAGTCATGTCTAAGCTGAACGTGGTGGAACGAGATGGAATAAGACAGGACTGAGACATATATGAGAGTGTGTCCGAGACATATTAAATGACAACAAACGGCATGTCTAGCGATTTGAAACATCAGCGATATTCCGCTCATCACTCTAGTGGCAGAAAGGGAGCAACATGAGGATGTGCATTCCTTCGCAACATAAATATATGGGGATGCCCCTCTCTCCCGCGATACTTTCCTCTCTTCGGGCTGTTGCTATTTGAACTCCCATATTGCCTGCTATACGACAGCGAGAAATTTGCATCATGTGTTTCCAGGCAATCGTGCAGCTCATACACAGCCTGCGCGGCTGGAGGCTCAATCTCGTCATCCTCCTGTCGGTGTTCTGGGCCCTTGGGTTTCTACACCAGCATCTGTGGAGCCTCGAACGTTCGCTGGCGCTAGTCGAGTATGGCAGTCCAAGTTCAAGTCCAAGCACAGCCGCCGCTGCCCCCAAGCCAGCCGCACCAGAGTCGTCGGTGGCGCACGAGCCAGAAACCCCGGCCTCGAATGGGTACTCTATAAAGCCGATCGCCTACGTCTTCCCTCAGTTTCATCCCATCCCGGAAAATGACGAGTTCTGGGGCACGAATTTCACCGAGTGGGTGAGCGTAAAGAAAGTCACACACAACCCACATGGCCTCGAGACGTTGCGGCCGACGGAAGAGGTGGGATACTACAACCTGCTAGACTACTCGACCAGGGCACGATATGCGAAGCTCATACGAGACAGCGGGCACGTCTGACCCTGTCCACAAGATCACCCGCCTGCATACATAGTTGATTTACTAACGCGCAAGAGCTCATGCAGATTCTACGGCATAGCCTACCACCACTACTGGTTCGGGCGGCCAGTGATGGCGAAGGTCCTCGAAGCAATCCTGCACGACGGTCAGCCCGACGTTCCCTTCATGCTCAACTGGGCCAACGAGGCATGGACCAAGCGGTGGGACGGCAACGACGGCAGTGGCATTCTGCTGGCCCAGGAGTACGGCGGCATCACCGACTGGCGGGTCCACTTCGACTGGATGGTCCCCTTCTTCCGGCACCCAAACTACATCCGGTCCGGCGGCAAGGTCCAGATGATGGTCTACAAGCCCGAAGCCATGGGCCACATGGGCAAGCTCATGTTCGCGGCCTGGCGCAAGTGGGCCGTCGAGGAGGGCCTCGGCGGCTTGGACGTGATCGAGACGCGCCTCGAGCCGGACAACCCCAACAGCCGCGGCCCCGCCGATGCCATCAATGAGTTCGGCTTCCGTTCCGGTGGCGGCCAGGACAGCACCTTGTGGGTTGGCACCAACCGCCTCTCCAGGGTGTACCACCGTGGCGCCCGCGTGACCTGGGACAACACGCCGCGTCACGCCACGGACGGTGGCAGCTCGGCCGATGTGTTTGCTCACCCCTATTTATGGAAACGTAAGTGCTGGAAATGATATCTATCCCCACATCCGTTCCCCCCTGGCACAACTTGGGCAGAGGGAGAGAACTGGCTGACATGGCACACACACACACACACACACACACACACAGTGAGCATGATCGAACTGATGCAGCGCATAAAGCTGGAGCCAAATCCCAGGGGGGAAGAGAACTTCCTGTTCGTTAACGCCTTGAACGAGTGGGCCGAGGGGAATGTCCTCGAGCCGTCTCTGCAGTGGGGGGACAAGTACTCGAGGGCTTTCCGGGAGGCCGTGGACGTGGCGGAGACGTTGCCGTGGGCAGACGACCTGATCGAGGCCGGCGAAGCCCTCGAGAAGGAAATCAAGTCAGGCGCAGAAGAGGTTGATGTCTGCGTGATCGTGCGGGCGTTCGCAACGAAACTGCGGTGGCAACACCCCTTTGATCTTCCCAGGATGCTTCACTCCCTCCGGGCTCAGTCCAACAAGCGGTGGAGAGCCGTGGTCGTCCCGGCAGTAACGAGCGTTGATAGAATGGCCCTGAAAATGCATGGCTTGGATACCTTCGACCCGCGCATCTTCCTGGCCGACATCCCGGGCGAGGTCCTCGACGATCCCGGGTCTAACCACCACTCTGACGGCATGGATGCCACCGATTGGGCCATCGCGAACCTGGACAAGATCAGTCCCGGGTGCGCCTCTGCAGCGTATATGCTTGTGACCACGTCGAGCGGCGCGTACGAGCCCGCCACCTTCGACCTGGCCGTCCGCGGCACCAGCGACATCATCGGCTTCAGCTTTACATCGCCCGAGACCGCGGCCGCGGCCGAAGCCGAAGCCGGATCCAGGATAGCCTGGGACCAGCGCTGCGCGCGCCTTGTCGACGACGGCACCACGCCGCTCTGCCGGCTGATGGGCCCAACGTCGGACTTGCGCGACCTCGGCGCGGCGTTCATCAACCTCGAGCGGTGGCGCCGCGAGGGCCACAAGCTGGCCGGATCCCAACCGGACAGCACGGGGTTCCTGCGGCGTCTGGCGGAGCGGCCCGGCGGCGAGGCGTGGAGGTGGATCACACCGCCGGCATCATCGTCGTCGGTGTCAGGGAACAGCAATGGGGGATGTGGTGGGCTTGTGCACGGGTGGACGTATGCGGCGTGCATCCGAACGGGGCGCTTCTGGCTCGACATTCCGAACTTTGAGGAGAATGAGAAGAGGCATACGGCCGGGTGCCATAGCTTGAGCAGCATCACGACCGACTTTGACTGGGATATAAAGCGCTGGGATATGGAGAGGTTCCACGAGGATCCCTTCTGTCTGCGCATGTCACGGGATCAATACGAGAAGGCTGTAAAAAAGGTGGAGTGACGGCGCGGGGCGGGATGTATGAAGCTGAAGCGTGGTCTCATAATTTTGCACGAGGATGCTACTCAACAGCATGATCATAATCATGGAGAATTCGGACCCTCAAGACAGAATGTGCACATGAAGCCTGGACGGTACAATTGGTGAGTTAAAATGTATTCTAGTAATTCGACATCAAACCACCAACTGCGGGACGGGAGTGCATACCAATCTTCCATAGGCCGGGCTTCTTCAACCATCTGTGCTGCCTGCTCAGCTTGCCCAAGCCCAAACTGCCGACCAATGCCGTGTAGGTGGTCCAAGGCAAGACCACGCGCGGACTGGGCGGCAAGCGGCGAAACTGCCATGACTGACAGTGGCCAGATCAGGTACCTCTGGAGGTACGCCTGGGAGTGCCGCCCCGTGAAAAACGCAACGTGGCCGAGGATCTCCCTCACGGCCTCGTTGCCGTGCAAGGTGACGAGTTGAAGGACTGTTCGCTCTTGATTCTCGGTAAGACACCCTAGGTGGTCCATGTCGTCGGTGACGGTCCTGTTATCTTCCACGTGGCAACCACATCTCGGCGATTCGGTGAGAGACCGGTATGCGAATGTGTTGAAGAGCAGTCTAACCGAGTGCAAGATCATCACAATGCGTGCAAGTCGAGGATGCACCCTTTGATGCCTTACCAGGACAGGATAATCGGCCACAATCTTTTGGTTGCCCATCGCATCTCTTATGATGCTGGTGACCTCGTCATCTTGTTCCAAGGCGTTCATAATGATGCTGCGAGACCGAGGCGAAGAGAAGCCACCAAGCCGGATGACTTTAGCCCGCATGCTTGCCATCTTTTCCATCGCCACGCCTATCCGGGGCCCGACCTCCCTTCGCAGATCGAGCAACTTCTGCGCTATTGCCAGGTCTTGGAGCTCCATGAGCTCCCTCGGAGGGTCTATTGACATCTGGGCGCAGCTGCCCCGGATGTTTTGAGAGGCATGTAGAAACATCTTCCTCCCTAGGTCGGTCCTGAACTGCTCTATGCCCCTCATATTTACGAGGGCGAGAGCACCGTGGGTGTGAGCAGTCCAGGAGGTGGGGCTCTTGCGGCCACGAAAGAGCACGGCTTCAAAGAGGCCAAGTAGTAGGACGGATAGTAAAGTATCGTCGAGTGCGGAAGTGGCAGGAATGGAGAGGGCGACATTGAGAGACGCGATAGCGGTGTTGTAGGTCTTGTAGGCGATGGAAAGAATGGCCCGGGACGAGTAGGCTGGAGTTAACGAGAGAGTGGCCAAGGAACAAGCCAATATGGCGCGTGGAAGAGGGGTGGTGACTTTTCCCTGTACTGTCCCTGATATGGCTGCAGCGGCGTTGAGGACGTCGGGATCGACGAGGTCTGGGAGGTAGCCGAACTGGCCACTTGGGGCGTAGGCGAGGACGAAGTGCGACACGGCAACGTCTTGAAGTGATGTTGACAGCTGGCTTGGCGGCGCTGCTACATCCAGTCCGTTCGGAGGATCGGGCGACGTGCTACTCGGCAAAGATGTGTGTGAATCAGGTCCCTCTGATGGGTCGAGGCCTGAGGCTCGCCTCCTAGTATTCGAAGCCTTGGCTTTGCGAATGACATCCTTGGTCTCGTTGTGGATCGCCAAGCCGGATAGATCTCGATATCCTGGACAAGCCACCATTCCTCGGATGCATTGCCCACACGCTGGGCGGCCCTGGTCGCACTATAATTAAACCCCATGTTAGCTTGTTAGCTTGCCAAGTCTAATTACTCCCAACATCAAATGCGCCGTCACCTTTCGCCTTTTCCAACGGCAGATCTCACATGCCGTCGATGGCTTACCGCGATACACCATATTGTGGTATGGCACGGGAATGCAGAGAGTAGGGCTCTACTCAGACAAGAGACTTGGAGAGGCAAATCTTTTTTTTTGGTCGAGGCGGGTTTTAGGATGAGACTTGGTGTCGAAGTGCATGCCAGACTGGAGAAAACGTCGCTTGCTAGACTTGAAATATGTAACCCATGTTTTTCATGTCATGTTGGGTTTCGTCAGGAGGACGAACTAGTGTCGAGGAGCATGCCTGATGGGGTTAGGCGCAAGATCAAGCCATTGCATTGCCCCCGCGTCAGCTTACGCGTACGTCATTGATCATCATTCCTTGCCGCCGTGGATCAACCATCAGCTTACAGGTTCCATAGTTATTATAGTCTTGCTTTATCTTTTATTCCTACTTGTCAAAGGCGTTGAGCAGAATTCCATTTCTAGTAAGGCAGCACGATATCAAATGTCGTGATCAACCTCAGCTCTAGGCTTTCTCTAATTAGTGAGGTGTCGTCACCCGTGAGACTCTCTTACACGTCTCTTTGCTTTCTTAGGCTACACTATGTGTTGCTGTAGTATAAAAATGTACAATATCTCGTCTCGGCTCTCTCTTCTCTCTTAGAATCCGGGCTAGACAGCTATCAAATTGCAATACTCAAGGCCAGCATTGATATTAAATAATTGATAATCACCATCGTTTGAACTGCGCAGAAGAGTCAAAATGAAGTGTCTCCGCTCCGTCCTTCTCTTCAACACGCTAACCCTCTCTCTGGTATGACTCCCCGTGTCTCTTTCACCTAATAGACTTATGCTAACGTCCGGCAAAGGGTCATACTTGCCTCGACAGGGATATACAGCTAAATGGCAGGACAACACAATAGACACTTCGGATAATATGATCTATCCTCTTAGCTCAGATTCGGATTTCAATTTCCAGCTTCTCGAAGCCCTCAGCTTTGCACCCTACGAAGGGTCAGACATCTCGGAGATGCTGGTCGCAGCAAATCAGATCGCGCCAGGAGACTTCGAGGGTTTCTACAAGACCTTCGACAGTCTTGCAAATCGTGCCAATGGCCAGGACCAATCCATCAATGCCTCTCGGTTCCCTGTGTCGGCGAGGAATACCTTCTTCAAGGCGGCAACCTACTTCCGCTTTGCCAACTTTTACCTCCACAGCAACTGGTCCGACGCTAAAATTATTATTAAGAGCCTTCAATCACCATCGCCTTCGCCTTCTGGTTCGCTATAGGTAACATCAAACGCCATTGTCTTCTTGGTATAAGATAACCCTGACAAGCAATGCTGCCCCATCGTCTACACGGTGCGGACCTTGGCCCAGTATCAGCAAGACCTGGCCAACCGCGGCATTGTCAGGCCAAAGGGAATTGAGACTTTCATGGAGAAGTACAACGGTATGAAGGATACGTGCCCAGATTTCGTGGACGACAATCAGGTGGTCAACTGGCTCATGCTAAACGTCTTGGCCGGTGGCGACTCAACCGCAGGAGCCATGCGCAGTGTCATCTATCACCTGGGTCGAAACCCCAGCAAGTATCAGAAACTTGTTGACGAGCTCAAGGCCGCCCGTCTCCCCTTGCCTGCCCAATGGAAGGACTTCAGACAGCTGAGCTACCTGGATGCCGCCATCAACGAAACCCTGCGCGTCACACATTTTTTGGCCTGGTTCTCGAGCGCGACGTGCCCGAAGGAGGGTTCCGACTCCCTGACGGCCGCTTCGTCCCGGCGGGTAGCAAGATTGGCATCTACCCTGCTGTTGTGACCCGAGACACGGGGGTCTTCGGCCCCAATGTCCATGATTACGACCCAGACCGCTGGCTGCAGCGCGATGGCGAGGCAGACGAAGATTACAAGGTCCGCCGACGCCGCATGCAGGAGACTATCGATTTCATGTTTGGGGCTGGCAATCGCGTATGTATGGGGAAGCATATGGCCAAGCTGGAGATATACAAGCTCTTTGCAACCTTGCACAGCATGTTTGATGTGAGGTCAAGACCCCTCCCTCACAGTGTGGTCATGCTACAGATATTATGTTTGTATATTTACTTTTCTTTCTCTCATTATTCCATTTTCCGGTTCCGGCCCACCTGAACTTGCCCTGCCACGCGGCAGATGTAAGTTGACCAAGCTGACTGTGATCCACATTAATTACAGATTCAAGTCAAGGACCCGAATCGTGAATGGGAGTCCCGCAGTGCCTGGTTCATGTACCAAAGGGACATTCAAATGAGGGATTAGCCATCGTAACTGGGATTGAAGGATATGATGCAAAGACGGATGAGCATCAGCTAATTATACCTAATTAGCTAAAGCTATTTCGATCTTTCTCTCTTATAATAAGAGTAATTATACGATACTAATTAGCGCACCCCTTAGTCTCGCAAGGAGTGAGTTTACGTGGAAGTTGAGTGTTATTTACTGTTTTCGGGCGTACTTACACTTGAAAAAGGCAGAACTCGCGCCAGGGCCCGTTGCTGTAGCCTTGATCTTGCCTAGCCCCAGGAGCTTTGGGAATGCATGTTGTTCAGCGGACGATCGGATGAGCTTTTTCTAAATGTCGAGTTGAAGTTGAGGGGAAAGTCGATGATGTGATTGTTGTTGAACACATGTCTCGAAACGGAGGGGAGAGGGCGGAGGAGAGAACTAGCAGCTCTACAGGGCTTGAACTCTCCATCCATGTAACAGACCCAGCAACATCTCCAAGCAGCACCAGCCCCCTAAGCCAGCAACCTTCCCCCGTTGGTGTTCACAATGGCCCCACTGGCAAACCGGTCTTTCATCAGATAAATATACGCTTCAGCCACGTCCCCGGGCCTCCCAATCTCCCCCGTCGTCGTGTGCGCCTTATACGCCGCCTCCAGCTGCCCACCCATCTCCGTGTCGAACCTCTCGAACAACTCCGTCTTCACCGCTCCCGGCGACACCAAGTTGACCCGCACCGGCTTCAGGTCCACGGCCAGCCCCCTCGACAGAGCCTCGACCGCCCCACCAATCCCGGCAAGCACGGACCAGCCGGCCGACGGCTTATCCGTGTTGGTCCCGCCCGTAAGCGTGAGCGAGTTCGCCGGGTCGAGGTCCATATACCGGGGCAGCAGCTTGGCGAGGATCACGGCGCCGGCGAACCGCACGGCCATCGCCGCGTTGATGGACGCCACGGTGGCGTTCGCCAGGTTCAGGTCCGGCAGGCTGTCTCCGGCCGTGAAGGCGACGTGGTGGATCTTGGTGCCGTCGGCGGCGGCGCGGGAGAGGAGGGAGTCGACGTTGGCCTCGACGTTGGCCGCGTCGGAGAGGTCACAGGTGTAGCCCCGGATCTTGGCGTCCGGGTAGGCGGTCCTGAGGCGGGCGAGCGCGGCGTCGAGGCGTGGTTGGTTGGAGTTGCTGACGATGACCTCGGCGCCGTGCTCGAGCGCTGCTTCGGCGACGCCGAATCCGATGCCCGAGGTGCCGCCCAGCACAAGGACACGCTTGTTGGCGAGCTTGGAGAGGTACTTGCCAGTTGGTGCCGACATGGTGATAGGATGGCGCTTGAAATGTTGCCAAGTTGGATTGTGAAGTGAAGCTTAAAACGGTCGAGATTGCGGGCTTGACTTGGTTGTTATGCGAAACGACATCTCTTTAACCCTCAAAATATAGCTACTCAATACAAACCGTGCCGTAGACCTACAGCAGCTCAGCTGATATGCCCAAGCCGCATGTCGTCAAAGTGCCATTTCGGTCGGATTTTGCTGGACTTAACAGTCTATCTCCACCTATGTCGGAGATGTGGACGCACATCCGATTAACGCCATCAAATGTTGGTGACAAAGCACGGGGGAATGTCGTCTATAGGCTGCGGCCTCGGACTGGTGGCAAATCCCCTGCCATATTATCTCTCTTTCTTTCCTCGCCCCCATATAAACTTTCCAAAGCTCCGGGACTATCGATTTCGATATGATGTTGTCTTCGTCCCAGATTTGCAATATTAATGGCAGCATGTGGCCATATATCTTAACAACCCCCGTCTCTTATCGATAGCTACCCAACATTAGGACCTGTGGGATGGGATGATGGATCTTTTAACAACAATAGTACTCGCTTTAGGTACGCTAAGATTGTTCCCCCGAAGGGAACAACACTAAGACAAAGTATTTATAATGTAAACTCGGCGACACGACTTCCAGCTACTCATGGGCCATTCATATGAGCCCGACTTCCTCCTGAACTAGAGAGCGAGGTCTAGTGGTGATACCATCCGCGGATTTGGGAGTTGTGGGAGGAATAGCTGGCCTGGGAGCTGGTTTAGACCTTTCGAAATCTTCGCCTCGTCGGGGGAGCGGCAACTGTGGCTGCGAGTAAAAGGCCCTGGCGACAGACTCCTGGCTCTTCTAATTCTGCCATCAATCCTCGATTCCCTGACCAACGTTTTCCATTCTCTTGGAAGACCCTAGGCTCAAAGTCAGAGGTTAGCTTGTCGTCTGCCTACAGAAAAGGTGCAGAGTAAATAATTGGGCGTGGGGGTTCATACAGTGAACTCGCTTGTGATTTGGTTATACCCAACGTGGACAACGTGAACGGGATTTATCGGTCGGCTTATCTTAGACCTTCGTGCAAAGCGGCCGAGAAGCCTCGTGGGCGTTTGGGTTTGCAGGTGCAACTCAACAGTCTCAGGCCTTGGCTTGCTTGATTTTCGTTGCGCATCGTCGGAAGCTGTTGCCGTCAAGGATAACGGGGGGCTCTGAACATTTTGCAGGGCTCCTTCCTGGCCGAAGATGTAGCAGCTGCTATTGCTCAGATCAAGAGCGTAGACAGGCAGGGCGTAGAAAGATATGTTGGAAACTTGCGATAGGCTGAGGTTTGAGAAAACAGATAGGGCCGTTGTGTGCAGCGCTGTGCTCGTGAAGGACGCCAGGGAATGCCGGTTGATTGTCCGGTTGTAAACATGGGATGCCTGTAAGTCATGCTCGAAGGTGAATTGCAAAGCAGATTCGCTGGTCTCGATAAACGAAACCGCCTCTGCATTCCGATTTGGGCAAATGGTCGATACTTCGTCTCCTCCAGCTGTAGATTTGGCGATTACCGAGCCCTCTCGCTCCAATCCCCTGATTCGATCAGCTAGTTCCGAGTTGCTTCTCACCACCTCTTCGACAAGGAGACAGAGGCGGCGAGTTGAACTTTCAGCTTCCTGCATTGTTTGACTTGGTCTTGTTAGCTACATATTATCAATTGGTAGCTTGAAAGAAAAGAAGAAAAAAAACAATAATTACTGACTAACCATTGCAAGATTGTCAACATTAGTGTGAGTGATGATTTGTGATTTTGCAATCGTTGCATAATAACACTGATCTTCGACTCTTGTTTCGACCACTTGAGCTTATCGAAGGCGCCCATTTCTGGATCCACGTTCAGGTCATCGATGATCCTCTGAAGGTCCGAGTACGTCGTGACGCAGCCCGTCAAGGTGGTCAACACTTGCTCCAACCGGATAAGCGCCCCCCGTTCCGCCGATGCCTGTGTTCTTCCGCTCACATAGCACTGTAAAGATCCCAGCACCGCGGCGATGTCTGCCATCTCCCATAGAAGGCTCTGCGCCAAGCGTGGGGCTTCGCGCGCATTCTGTACGAATGTGAATAGAAAGCTGGTGATCTTGGCGCCAGCGCCGAGGAGACCGATAACAGATGCAGAAACAGACAATGGGTCCATATTCGTTGAGTCTAGCGGGACATCACGAGGCAAAAGGGAAAATAAAGGTCAGCGAACTGAAGCTGAAGTTAGTTGGGATTGAAGCCTTTGGGGGGGGGGGGTGGGTTGCAGCCTAGCCTGATGAACTTGCCTTGCCGAGTCTCGAAGCACAGCCACCTCAGCCACCACCAACCGAGGACGCTCAGAAAAAGGCTGACAGTGAGTGTTTCATCTTGGAGGATTCTTGGCACCGTTTTGCCTCGAACCCCAAGCGCTAGTTTAATCATATCAAAACTACTGCTGTCCGAAGATCCATCCTCGGTTTCTATTCGGCCTTTACAATGGACCAATTTTATCTCGACAACATTGCTCTATATCAGACTCTGGTCAGGGCATTCAGGCCTTCGCCTGAAGCTCGGATAGCCACCACCAAGGTGGCTACAGAAATGACCAGTCCAGATTTGGTTGTCGGCGCCAGAATCCGGCCTCTGCTGAACGAGGACCTTGCCGCAGGCTTCCCACGTGCTGTCTTTCCCCGCTCTGACCAGACTGGTGTGGTGGACATGCACGATCTCTACAACCATCCGAGGGGACGGCCTATACTCAAGGTAACGAAGAAATACCTTTTGCAATCGCCGTTTGTGGCTGATTACTGCTGGCCAGTCGTGCTAATCGTAACTAAATGACTCATTTAATTTAGTCTTTCAACTACCAGGTAGACAGGCTTTTCAACTCGGAGACAAGCACCAAGGAGATCTACGAGGATCTTGTGGCACACCTGGTCCCCTTCGCGTGGAATGGCGGTATTGGAACCCTCTTCGCCTACGGCCAAACCGGCTCTGGCAAGACCTTTACAGTCAGCCGGCTTCAACAACTCGTTGCTGGGTCGTTGACGGACGACAGTCTCGAGGGCCAGAGACAGATTTACATCAGCATCATTGATCTTGCCGGGAACTCGGCCTACGACTTGCTCAACTCACGCAAGCCGGTATCGATCCTCGAAGACTCATTTGGAGTTACACAATGGACGGGGGCAAGCGAGTACCAGGTGCAAGGCAGAAACGAGGTGGTGGACGTGATTGAGCGCGCAGCATCTTTTCGACGGACGGCACCGACTCAGAAGAACGATGCTTCCTCACGCTCGCACAGCATATGCCGCATCCGCATCAAGGACCCATCTACTGACGACTCTGTAGATGGGCTTTTGTACCTGATCGATCTGGCCGGTTCCGAAGCTGCTCGTGATGTCGCGGTCCACGGCGCCGACCGGATGCGCGAGACGCGCGAGATCAACATGAGCCTATCGGTGCTGAAGGACTGCATCCTGGGAAAGGTGAAGTTGGACGCTCTCATCAGAGGCGGCGGCGGCCCGAAGTCAGCCCAGCAAAAGAAACCACACATACCGTTCCGACGAAGCGCGCTCACCAGGGTCCTGAAACACGTCTTTGACCCTGCTGGCGGGCGAGCTTGCAAGACGGTCGTTGTAGCCTGCGTCAATCCGAGCCTGGCTGATATAGCGTCAAGCAAGAACACGCTGCGGTACGCTGAGATGCTGCGTGTTCTGGTTCCTGCGCCAGCAGATCCCGGCGCCGAGTTAACGACGGAACCTAACACTACCACCATGCTAGGTCGCCTGACACTGACGAGCAGATTGACGTCGAGCCGGGATTTATTGGATCCCACGGCTATGGCAGTACCGTTCAAGGAGCGCATTCGCCCTGGTATGGTCGTCAGCTGGAAGCACCAACCTCGTCCTCGTCCTCGTCCTCCTCCTTCTCCTCCTGACCGTTGTTTAACACGGCGCAGGAGCATGCCGCCGGACGACGACCTTAAGTTGGCGGTCGTACTTTGCCCTGCTGTCGAGGTTGTTCAACAGGGGACCGCCATCCCAGATATTCTTGGCAATAACGTGATGAGTTCCACAGAAGAGAGTGATGAGCATACTAGCACGAGAGAAGACAACGGCACTGGAGGCGGAGGGGACGGTGCGCAAAGGTTTCTATGTGCGCTGGTGACGCCGGCGCCGGCGCCCGAGGCTTACGAGCTGAATCTGTGGCAGCAGATTGTCATCGATGTCGGCAGGATGGATAAGGAGGTCTTTCTCGAGTATGATGCTGGGACTAGATACTACTACATTTCCGCCTAAAGATTTAGAGAATGAAGAAGCCAACGCGTCCGGTAAACGTCAACACCATTTCCGATTCCAGGTTCGCCAATAAAACCGCCCGCTGTGTACTCAAGCCAGAACCATGATCGCTCAATGCAACCTCGGCTCAACTAGTCGCAATATAAAAAGTCATCCTCGCCTTCAAGCGCGGAGAAAGTCCCACCTGTCCCAACCTCGCGGTTGGAAAGTATCCATGCCTTACCATCTCCGGGTGAAGACGACCCATGACCTCGAACGGCCAAGGAGTCCTCTTCAAGGCTCTGAGGGCATCCTCGCTGAGTGTCTGCATTCCTTTGTCCGTCATGCTCGTCGTCGATGTGGCAACCTGCATCGCTGGCCCATCCAGCTGGGTTTCTGCCGTGGCCCACTGAGGAGGCGCAACTGCAGCGTCAGTTATACTCTTCTGTCGCTGGGGTCTTGTTGGTCGGCGACGGCCTCTGGCTGGGCCTGGGAGTGGTTCTAGCACGGAATCAAGCTCCCACAAGGACTTCGGTGGATTAATTAGTCTCTCCCATGATCCGCAGTGTTTCGCCACAGGCAAGTCAAGGATCAGGGTTGTTGAGCCCGTGGCGACTCCTCCAGCTTTCTTGTATGCCTTTGTCGCCCAGAAATCGGCAATAGTGTTGCCGGGGATGGCTGCATGGGAGGGGACCCAATGGAATTCAACGGCAACTCGGAGCATGGCGAGTTTCTGGGCGACTGCCAAAATATTGGCCACGAATTTCTGCTTCGACACTGCTTTCTTCTTCTCCCCGTAGACTCGCTGAAGTTCGCGGAGGGAGGCCTGCGAATCCGTCATGATGCTCACCGCAGCGAACGATCCCAGCGGTTTTCCCCGAGCATCCGCAAGTGCCGACTCCATCGCCTTGGAGATGGCTAGGTTCTCGAATTCATGTATGCCCTTCAGTCCGCCGACAACGAACGTGTGCACCTTCCAGGAATCCCCAGTGTCTTGCCAAAACAAATGCTCCCGAGCCAGAAACCCCCATGCTTGAGGCATCTGTCCACAGCAGTATTCTGCCCTCGACGCCAGTCAGCTTCCTAGCATAGGCCAGGGCTTCGGCTCTTTTTTTGATGTAGACTCGGTGAGAGTAGGATGCGGTCGGAGATGGCGGTACGTGAATGGCGTGGCCACTTGAGCCATCGCAAGACTCTGTTAAGGGGCTGGTGATAGACACCGCGGCCTCTAGCCTGCCATCTTCTCCATGACCGCTGTGTGGCGGTGTAGGAATTCTTTCAGTGACTGGAGCCATGGCAGCCTCCGAGACTTCAGGACCACTTGGTGGCAACACATGGGAGTTCCCATCGAGAGCTTGTTCAGGATCCCTGGTGATACAGGCAATTTCGTGCTGAGGGCTTGCCCCTTCATCCGCCGGACCCTCAGGGGTTGCCAGTGGAGCCACGAGTGCGGATTCGGGTTCGTTTTCTTTTCTATTCGCAACGGTTGGTTCGGAGGATGGTTCGGAGAATGGTTGCTCGGCTGGTCGATCAGCTGGTTGATAGTCCTTGGAAGAAGCGTCAGTGAAACGCCTATCTCTCAATAGCTATTAAAAAGAAGTTCTAACCTTGGCCCCGTTACGATGCTCCCCATCGTCTTTGATAGGGTCACTGGTCAAGTGTAAATCTTCCCCCTCGACACTCGTTGAGGTATTTTCGCGACGATGAGTCGGAAGAACAGGAGCGTCTACGGTAGAGGCCTGCTGATTCACAGGCCTGATCTTGTCCCCGTGTGTTCTTCTTAGACTTTGAGCTCGAGTGAACTCGATGGCGGAGACGTTTAAGAAAGCTTTTTTAGGCCTCTTGGGCGGGTTGTATCCGAAGCCATCGCGGGCGGATCGCTTGTCGATGGTTATTGGAAACGGAAGTATGAAAGTGTCCTGGGGGACGCTTTCAGTGTGCGACTCAAAGTGCGTACCCAGTTGGAAGCAGGGTCTTTCAACGACTCCTTGGCCTGTGTAGTTTGCATAACCTGAGCAAGGTGATAAGGCTAGAGCTAGAGGTGAGGCGCTGGGTGATCACAGCATGCCATGGGCATAAATGGAAGGTCCTAAACTCCTGTTAATTAACTCCTTCAGCAGGGATCACATGTCAAGCAAATAGACTAACGACAAGATTGAACTCTAGCTAAACAAGAAGCGAAGCGTTTAACTTTAAAGTGTATTAAACAAGAGACAAAACTTAAAGCCGCCTCACGTATTCGTAAGGTTTTCTGTTAATTAGCTAATTGAGATAATTACAACCCCCTTGTTTCCCGCAACTGCTTCAAGTATGCGATTGACCTCTTCGCCCTCTTCACAGCCTCGACGCAATCTCGGGCACGATTTTGTCATCCTCCTCACCAAGCTCGAGATTGAGAAATTCAAGCTTCTCTAATGGGCTGAGCAAGTCAGGCTCCTCCAGCATGACGACAACGAATTCACCGATAAATGATAGAACGACCCTGCCATCCAAGCGCCGGTTTCCTATATTACTATGGCCTGCATCCGTTTGCTCTTGGGCAATGCAGTTCAGCTGAAAAAAACGTCATGGCCTAGGCGATGCTTCCTCGGCAAGGACCCGGAGGACATACAGAATCTCAGGAAGTTGAAGATGGTCCTTGAGGCATCCGCGGGCCATCGAGGGGACATTACTGAATCAACGCAGGAACTGATCGATCATGGATGCCAGGACCGCATCCTTCGAACGCTCTGGTTTAAAAGGGATAGGCGACCGGAGAGAGAGCATCGCAGATGCACACCAGAAAACCCTAACAATGGGCCCTGGAGCCGCCGGATGGGGAACATCCGTGAGATAACCTCTCCGACCGGCTTCGCGCTGGTTCTGGCGTCTACTGGGGTATCGGGGAAGGCCGGCAGCGTGAAGTCAAAGTCAACGCTCATGAAGCACGAGACCGAACGTGATGCCTGGACTGATGCTAAGGGATGCTTCATGCACAGCACAGTTTTCGAATTCCTGAGCGTGGAAAGTCCCTACTGTAGCCTAGAAGCTTCGCGTACCTAGTTACCTACCTAACTACCTATCTTAAGGTAGGTAGGTAGGTAGGTACCTAGGTAAGGTAATTACGGTACAGGTACAGTACAGTACAGTCCCGTCTGTGCCCAGCGGGGTGACTCATAGCATCGCCTCAGGCCCCAAACTTTATTGTCTGTCGCCTCAAATTCCACCAGACTCGACGGCTTTCCTTTTCCACGGCCTTTTCCACAACCTTTTCCATCACTACCTGGCTAGCCCATCTCTTCAGAACTACGATCTCGCCCTCTTGGCCATCATCGAGTAAGCTATCGTGCATCTCGTCGACAGGGCATTCCAAACTACTGACTGCCATCGCCACGAAGACCATGGGATCTGGCCGCAACAACCGGCGCTCCAAGGGCAAGGGCAAGGAGATTGTGGATGATCCACCGGCATCCGAGAACCCAGAATCGCCATCGACCCCGAAGAAGGAGAAGGGCAAGGGGCCAAAGGACGACCCATCTGCCGCAAAGATCACCACCACGCTTGCCACGCCGGACAAGGTTCCCGGGATGATTAATATAAACGACACATCTCCAATCTCCCTCCCCAGTGCTCGGTCGTGCCTCAGCGCAGAAGCATGTGCAGCCCTCGACGTCGAAGAAGAGGGCCACAGCGCAGCGAAACGGAGATGGTCTGACGTGTCCAAGTCGAGCAAACAGGCCGTCGAGGATGCCAAGCGATCGCGGACATACGGCCATGAGACGACGCCGCGGTTTAAATCATACGTCCGAGACCTCCATGAGAACCTAATGGAGGAAACCTTGGTTCTTCATCAAGACCGGCTTACCAGGCTCGAGAAGAGCCGAACAATCCTGCAGGCTGAATACCACGCGGGAGACACAGGACTTACTTCCAGCGAGTTCAACAACCTTGTACGAGACCAAGAGGTGGAAATTGGTAACCAGCGCGCCAAGGTCATCTCGCTGCACAATTCCCGGCTGCTCCTCACTGCGGAGATGCGGCAGGATCTTGCCCTGCAAAAGGCCGTTGACCCATTTGAGTGGGATTATATCGACGGGCTACTCAACCGGTTCAAAGCACCACCAAGATCAACGGTCGTCCTCAAGGTCTCGCGGGAAGACTCTGACCAGGGCAGGTTCCGAGCCGAGGTGCTCAGGTTGTACGACGGCGTGCAGCTCAGAAAGATCGTGCCCAAGAAGACGGAAAAATACACCTGGTGCGCCATTACCGCCGATTTCCACCCCCCCGGCTCCGTCTGCGTTGCCCATCTCGTTAGGCACAGCATAGGTGACGTCGTCGCAGAGCGGTTCTTTGGCAAACCCACCCACCCCCGAGGGCACCTCTGGAACCCGGCCAACGGGATACCCATGCTCAAGGTATACGAGGAGCTGCTGGACCAGGCTGAGATTGCCTTTGTTCCCGGAGACACCCCTGGATCATGGAAGGTCCACTATCTAGCAAATGAGGACGCAGACAGGGGCCAAGGCGAAGAGAATACCCTCCATGGGCGAGAATTGACCTTTCGCACCGACTTCCGCCCCGCAGCCCGATATCTCTATTTCCGCTTTGCCACAAATATCCTCCTTCGCCAGCGTCACGAGGTCCCCGGCTGGTGGAACGACCGGTTCGAGTTTGGCCGCAAGGAGATGTGGGCGTCCCCTGGCGATTACCTACGGACGTCTATGATGAACCTCCTGGCCCGGAACATAGCTCAGGTCCCGCACGGCGAGGCCGACAAGGCATTCCCGCCCGACAAATGCGCCGACGCTGACGCCGATACCGACGCCGACAACGCCGAGCTCGAACAACACCTCTCGGAGCATACGGCTGAGCAGCTGCTTAGCCCGGTGATCGCGGCGCTACACATGGCAACGCAGGGCGATGATGAGGGTGACGACGAAGGGATGGACGAGACCCCGAGCCGGTCTACGAATGTGTTTGGGATTGTCGAGCCGGAAGATGACGGGGTTGGTGGGGACGATGGGCAGTGAGGGAACAGCGGAGAAGATGACGATGAGGAAAGCATTTATGAAGTTACGAGGGATGCCCCATCAAGTCGGGTTACCATTTTTGGTGCAAAGAAGCACGGTTAGGAGGGTGGAACAGTCTACAATTATTGCCCTAGTCACTGTACTGTATTGCTATAGAGCTCCACTCGGTGTACGGCCGTTTTTCACTCCGTGTACGGCCATATGGCCCGTGCGAGGAATTGAGCAATTTGATTGGTGAAATTTCGCCTG